CTTCAGACGAAGTAGACGTATATGACGAGCCACCCATCATCATTCCTGAAGTAGCAGTGAAGAAGAAGACGAGGTCTTCTTCTACAGTAACATCAGTAGTCATCTCAGCACAGTCAGACGTTCTATCAACGCAGACATCAGATAGAAACGGCAGGTCTTCACAAGCGCAGCGGTACTTCGAAAAAGCCTCAGCACTCTCAGATGCGTCGTCAGATGATATCTCAAGCACTACTCTCTCCGTTACCACTACGAAGTTGGCAGAGCCTACTTGGTCTTCTCCACGACGTCAGCACAAGACATGACACGCAGAGGAAGATTACAACTGCGCCCACTACAAGTGTTCGTGAACGCTCATCTAGACAGTCTGGACTCCTTCGGACTACCGGACGGATTGAAACCATATATTCTATGATGGACCTCGAAGTCGAATGTTTGCAGAGGAACCTACTTATCAGAGCCGGAGTGCAACACTCATCTCTACATAGATGCATCACTTGAAGGATGGGAAGCCCACCTCGACAACGACGTGGCAGCAGGAAAATGGTCGAGTCAGGAGCAGAGTCTGCACATCAAAATGCTCGAGATGAAAGCAGTAATAAACGCCTTACTACACTGGTCCAGCATACTAAGGAACGCACAACTGATGATCCATACGGACAACTCCACAGTGGCGTTCTACATCAACAAACAAGGATCAACAAGGTCATGGAATCTTCTAGACCTCAGCTTTCATCTGTTCAGCATAATAGACAACCTGAACGTCGACTTAAAAGCATGTCACATTCCCGGAGCCAAGAGTGTGATAGCAGACGCCCTATCTCGTCCAACACAACCATCGCCGACGGAATGGATGTTACATCCAGAAGCCTTCATATGCATCATACAGAGGATAGGATCTCCGCTGATAGACATGTTTGCTACAAAGTTCAACAAACAACTACCAACATTCGTCTCTCCGGTTCCGGATCCACAAGCATGGGCAACAGATGCTCTAAGCATCTCCTGGGAAGGACTAAATGCTTATGCGTTTCCACCTCCAGCTCTAATACCGCAGGTGTTGCAGAAAATCATGCAGACGAAGAAGCTGCAACTGATTTTGTCGCGCCCTACTGGCCAGCGAGGGTGTGGTTTCCCATCCTCATACAAGAACTCGGAAGTCCAACCCTGCAACTGCCAGAGTGGCCGAACCTACTAATTCATCCTCACACCAAGCAAGTACACGGAAATCGTATCAAAACTAGCAGGCACACTAGCTCTACGTAGATCAACCCGCAGCTTGTACGCCGACAAGTGGCAGAGTTTTGAGAAATATGCATTGAGGACGGGCTTCACGGCGATGAAAGCAACACATCCTCAAGTGGCGGAATACCTTTGTCATCTAAGACAAACGAGGCGGTTAAAAGGTTCAACACTCTCTACATACCATTCGGCCCTCAGCACGGTTATCACCATGAAGACGGTTGTTAAGCTGAACAAAGTACCAGATATACTGGCTCTACTACGCTCCTTTAAGTAGGAAGACCAACAAAAGAAATTGAAAGCGCCTGCTTGGGATCTCAACGTAGTTTTGCAGCATCTCACCAGTGACGCTTACGAAAAATTAGAAAGGACATCCTATGAGTTTCTAACACACAAATCTCTGTTCCTGATCGCCTTGGCAACAGCAGCTCGGATGTCGGAAATACATGCTCTGGACTTTGAACAAATGAGATTTGATGCACATCGCAACATCATACATCTGGGATTGAGATGGGACTTCATAGCAAAGAACCAATTACCCGGTCAACCAGACAGACAGTTCCACATCCCAGCACTCTCGGCAGTCCTTGGGCCACAGGATACGCAGGACCTATCCTTATGCCCAGTCAGAGCATTGAAAGTCTACCTACAAAGGTCTAAGACGAGGATTATTGTTTATATAAAACATTTCTCGTCACTATATGGCTGAAATATTGCCGATGTGACGTTAAATATTAACTCACTCACTCACTCACTAAGACGAGGAGACGGAAATTCAAGAGCCTTTTCATCCCTCTATCTATGGAGACACCGACAGAGGTCTCACGTATTACGACGATATCGATATGGACGAGAGCTGTCATCCTAAGAGCCTACAAAGCAGCAGGACTTGAGCCTCCACGAGCCTCCAATCCTCATGAAGTCAGAGCGCTGGCATCGACACTCGCTCTACATGGAAACTGCTCCATCTCGACAATAATGGAAGGCTGCTATTGGAAGTCGGAAACGGTGTTTGCCAACCACTACCTCAGAGACATTGCTACCGAGGATGTCTCCGGCATTCACCAGTTTGGGCCTCTTGTTGTAGCACAACAATTGACAGTTCCTCAAAGGCGCTGAGATGAATCTCACCTTTTTATCACGTAACTTGTAAAAGCCAACGCTCTTAAGAGCTAGAGCTTAGAGTCCATGCGCACGTCTAGGACAGGCCAGCATGAGTGACAGACCCTATACTTGTATATGACTTACTCGTACATGAAGAAGGGTCACTTCTCCACTTGATGCGAGCATCAAGACATGGAGTCGTATAAGTCCACACATAATGTCAGGAGAAGACGGTTCCAGAGAAATCTGACAAGTTGTGGTCCCCCCAAACTCATCAGAGGAAGCTGGAAGAAAGGATCAGCATAGTACTATAAGAAATTCCCTCAGGGGGGTATGCAGGACGTAAATCAGCAAGCTATGAATCCAGAGTGGCTTGACCCACCACCGGTTCTGTTGGATTCTACAAGCAATTAAGCATGAGTCAGGATAAGGAAAAATATGTATTTTTTTATTAATTAAAATTGATATTTTATACTTATCCTGACTCATGAGGTAAGCCCTCCCAACCTCCCCTCATGGCACTCTGGATTCCCTGTAATCCAGGTGTTGGGCGTATTTTAGGAGAGAGTGAGGAGCATGTTAGGTCATGTGACAGATTTCCCGCCAAATATCTAAGGGAGATAACACTGGGGGAGTGATTTTACGTCCGCTTTTTTTAAGGGAGCTTCAAAAGGGGATTGAATTGTTCCACTATCATTCGCAAGAAGGAGACAAGCAATTAAGCATGAGTCAGGATAAGTATAATATATCAATTTTAATTAAAAAAATACATTTTAGTACTGATGTCTTTTAAGTCAGTTCAGAAAACTCTAGTGAAAGTACTGAAATTATGAAATCTATACACAGTGTGTTTGGCGCCATCGCAGTATGTGAACATACGACCCATAAGCTTTCGAGATATTATGTGAAGCGTGCATTTACATGAGCTTTCCAGTTTGTTGAGGTATGATCACCTGTTTTGACCAAAATGTTAAGAAACGCCCTTGGATTCAAGTGATGCTTGATTAATGCTTGTGTGCAGTGTTCATTCCAAACATTGTGTACATTTCAGAATGTAGTAACAGTGACAAGCTAGATCATGCGAGTGACCTGATATTGCAATTTCAGGTGGCATTAGAGCTGGTTATCATTACATTTTGCCGGATCGATAATCGCTAGTGTCAGATTGATTATAATCGTTTGGACGGTCATTTCATAGTCAAATACCTACGTTAGCGAACTAACTTCCGGGTTGTCAGCACGTGTCAATTGTTAACGCTAGCAAGTTACTAACTTACTTTTGCAGCACCTTTGGATCATCGAGTATCCTATCATCTTACTTTTCCAACCGTAACATGTTTTATATCGGCCATTGCAATTCCCGTTGATTGCGCGAAAATGCGAGAAAATACATGAGAAGCATCCCGAATGACAACAAGGTGATCCCCGCTATCGGTCTGACATAAATATGCTACGAATCAAGTTTCCATGCGTAGGCAACAGTATAAAAAAAACACAAAAGATTTTTTTCTCTGACTTGTGTTGATGTTGTAGGGTGAACAAAGACATTTCCTTAATGTTGAAACACAAAATCTATTCCGTGAAGTATCATAATTAAGCATTGTATCGAAAGTCACGTGTTTGTATGCAAATGCAACTCAAGGAATTCCCTCTTTAAGCCAATTAGAAAATAGCTAACCTGTAATACCTGGGTGGTATAGTGACATTTTGTTGCATGATTGGACAATTGAGTTTGGCACAGTTTGCTCATGAATATTAATTATTTTTATGAACCACTTTACATCCCGTAGTATTTCAATGACGAAATAGAACACCCCAATCTAACGTTTTAATATATGTGCATCCAAATAATGATTATTTCCGATTATCGATCTGCAGTTTATTTGTAATCGACAATTGTTTATTTTGACTTAGATAGAACGATTAACAGATCCTACGATTAATCGCTCCAGCACTAGGTGGCATTGTATATTTATGCTGCAGTGAGATGTGTCGCATCACTTAAACATTTTAAATACTCAGATGATGGCTTGTTTTGAAGTGAGTGTTGTCTTTTGCAAGTTAGTGAGAACTTTTGCAGTTTTTCAGGAGCAAGAAAACAACGAATGTTTCATATGCTCATATAAACCCTTCATACAAGGATTTGTCATGAGAAGGATGGGTCTCATTGTATGATTGTTGCTGTTTGCAGTTGAAATTAGGAATCTCATTTTGCACAACCATTGTATTCCCCTTTTTTATGTGATATAATGCTATGTAATGGACTCGTCAATGTATTTTGGGACCCCTAATTTTATGGTGAAGGAGTTTAAGCCATAGCAGACACTGTGTATTATGACATATTAAATCAAAGAGTCCATTCATTGACATTTCAAGTATGTGTTGAGGTGTTTTGTTTCTTTACGAAGTGAGAACACAACACATGGTTTTCATGCCTTGGTTATGGCAAATTGTTTGAAAGAACATCTGATTTGTCATTTTGGAAATTTGAAGAAATTTGTCATAAGTTCCTCCTAAGTAACTCCTACTTAATGTGAGAGATGGTCAGAATACACATAAAACTGTCTTTCTAATTACATAGAAACCAGGATACTATTTCCAGTGCCCAGATGAGACATGACATAAAGATAGATTACCATGACTGTTTCTCTTTGCAGTTGACAGAAGAACTAAAAGAAACAAGAGCGTCTGAGAAAAATGATGAGAAACATCCAGAGGATGAAACAAAAGATGACCTCAAGCCAAATATTGCTGAGTAAGTTTGAAATTAAATGATGATTCAGCTGCTTGTTTCTTTGTGTATATTTTAAGCCATCTCATCAGCAATGTTAAGAAATACTACCTTTGATGTTACAAGTTGATATACTTATATTTCTCATGATGTAGGTCCAGACATACTAATATTTCTCATACTTTAAGACTAGATTACATCTAGTACTGGACTAGTAACAAACACACCTAGACAAGATTTTTGAAAGTTTCCTTGGTGTATTCATCTTGCAATTAAAGCAATTGATGTTGCAGAACTATACATTTTCCGAGCTGTTATGTGGCAGTTTGGTATGAATGCATTATTTTTTTCTGCATAAACCGGTTATTGTTTTGTTGACACAAAGTCGCATGTGAACTACCAGTCTACGGCTGTGTTGCCTTGTAGGAGATAATGTATGCAAAGAGATGATGATGTGTTTGCCATTCCTACTGTATATGCATGGCATGGAGACCTTGTATTTCATCAGACTGTGGCAGTGTGGAAGCCTTATTTAAATGTGAAACAATTTTTTTTCATGATAGCTTAAGAATCATTTGTCAAATTAAAAAGTCATGTGGAGTATCATGCTCCCAACAAACACAAATCATCCTAATTATTGTCACAAATGTTCCCTCTGGATTATGGTTGCCTTTTATCTCTGGGTACCACTGAGACATACAGAAATGGAAATAAAAAAAATCTGAAGTCATAGTTATCTTTAGTGGTATTCCTTTGGGTATTCCAAGTATGATTATCTCCATTAGCTGTGACATCACTATGCGTCCATTTTGAAATCCTCACAATTTTTCTGTAAGGGCCAGGTACAGGATGTTTTTACAGATTGGAAGTGAATCTTCAAGTTTTTTCTTCTGTCATATTGATTGGTCAGTGTTATCTCACTGGTTTTTTAACAATTGCATTCATAACTTTTGTGTGACATTGACTTCGTGTTTGGACTCGTTTTTCCTGCGTAAGATGTCTCAAAGTAAATGTCTTCAGTGTCAGAAATTCATGTCATGGAAAATTGCTCTGCCAAGATTTATCTAATGACGATTGGGTTAAAATGGACGCTGCTCATTCTAATTCTAAGATAAGGAAGTTTTCTTGTCCTCTGAGCCCCCTAAACGCGTTAAATCCTCTTCTCAATCTCAGTCTACGAAATCGGAATCTGAAAGTAAGTCTTGGTCTAAATTGCGCTCCCACTGTGGTCAGATCGATCTTGCTGCCATTACAGTGTTATTCTTATCTCATGTCAAGATCTTAACGCTTCCATGAATAAACCACTCGCAGATATTGTGTCACGGAAGTTTAACATGTTACAGCAGCAGTTGGATCAGTCAGCTGACCTACATAACTGGTCAGCTGTGAGCCATCCAGACTCATACAACGCTGACAAGAGCCATAGTCCAGAGTTTTTACCCGTAGGCTGGTTGGTGCTCCACATAGGAAAGCTGTGTATCACCCAGAGCCTGAGGCTGAACACCAATCCCAAGGGTTGAGGCAGCAGTCTTCGAGTGGGCAGGACATTGTCGATAAGGTCAACAGACGGCAAGATTTGCCCGTAGCGCTAGTCACACGCGCTCTTGCTTCAAAATCTCGCCCACCGCTATCAGGACGTTTCCTTTCAGCAATCTGCATTCGACAGGGCTTAGGATTCTAGATCCCGATCTTTCGTCCACTTGTCATGTTAAGAGCATCCCTTGGGACTCTCTTCCACCAGTGACTTGCCATCACAGAGGGCACAGATTCTTTCCACAGGGTCCACGTCTGTCAGCAGCCACCTGCAGTACAAAAGAGAGCGATAGTCAACTGTCCACCCAAGACACATCCAAGGGATTCAATTCACCTGTTTTCCTAGTACCCAAGAAGGACACAGGAGAGATGCGCGTGATAATAGATCTCAAGATTCTCAACAAGAACTATCTCAGAAAGCTGCCAAAATTCAAGATGGAATCTCTTGCCAATTTACGCACCTTAATCCACCAGAACTGTCACATTTTAGGCCCGGACATCAAGGATGCATATCTACTTTTATCATCCAAAACTGTGTTCCACAGGAGATATCGCTTGTGTGAGATCAAACTATATCTCGTAGGAGATATCGTTTTGACAGTAGGTTTTGTACAATGCCCTGACAATGCTATGACGTCATGTACTTGATGACGTCACAATGCTATGACATTGCTGCACTGCAAGTCTAAGGGCAGTACCGTGTTCAGAGATGTACATTTTTCATTGAAAATTAATGAAGAGTGATTTTGGATGATAAATAGAATCTCACCCTCTTGTCTTCTGATTTCAAATATATCAACACTCGTTGATAAAAGTTAAAATATCCTCTGCAAGCCTCAGATATTTGTGACTTTAACAACTCGTGTTGATATAATTGATATCAGAAGACACTTAGCTGAGATTCTCTATATACCAATCCATCCACGTTCCCAGAAATACCTTAGTTTTGCCGTCAACTTTGCAGGTTCCAGTTCCGTGTACTTCCATTAGGCATATCTCTTGCACCATTCACAGTGGTTTCTAAATCGCAAAGGAATTTCTATCCATGGTTATCTGTGTAACTTCCTGGTGAGGCACATCTTGACGCATATTCAACAGACAGGATTTATTATTCCCCGTCACAAAGTGGGCGGTGGATATAGATTTGAGCTCTGTCTGCCCGTCCTTCGGTCCGAATCCATCATACCGGAGACTTGGGTTCGATTCTCCACATGGGTACAATATGTGAAGCATATTTCTGGCGTCCCCCCATCGTGATATTGCTGGAATATTGCTAAAAACGGCGTAAAACCACATTCACTCGTTCACTATAAGTACCCCAAAGAAGATTTCGTCTGAAAAAGAATTGAACAAACCTGCATGATAATCACATTCCAATACTTAATGGTAGACCAGCCAGGTGTGCGAGTTGCACGTGTGCAATTGAAATTTCACTACACAAGTTTGTTGATTACCTGGCTGTCGACAAGTAAGTGGTATCCCCTCGTATAAAATAGTGAGAAGTAAAATAATGATCGTTTGTAAAACAACTTTTTTTATTCGTGTGTCCAAAATTATGGCACAAATCATCAGAGATGGTCTGTCGATTTCATGTGACTGCAAACTTTGGTTTTGTTGCAATTATTAGATTTTGTGTTAGTGAGCAATTCATCAGTCTCAAATGAAATCGAAATGACTGTAATATACTACTGAAAATAAAGTTAAGGACCACTTGATTCTTTCGTTTTCATCAACTATCACGCTACACAAATGAGTCAGAATTCTTATGAAGCTATAATGTCGTCTTTGACATCTATTTATTTAGAGTGTGGTCAGGCACATTTCAGGGGAGGCACATAAATCACCATCATCACATAAATCAAACATTTCTGTTGAAAAACCAGGACAATGATTATAGAACAACGCCAAAGTGGCCCATTTTATCAACTAGATGCTCAACTTGGTGACAGTTTTGGCACCCCAAATGTATACCTTATCGCTGCACAATTCAATCATCAGTGGTCGTGTAATGATGGTGATCAATGCTTTGGAAATTGTGAGAAAATATTCAGTTTTGCACATGTCCTGCCCCAGTTTCCATACTAGGGATCAAGTCCATGGTAGTCCTTCTTTTGGTAGCAACACAAATGCTATGCAGAATGTGCTTTTCAGTGTCTCAAAAGAATTAATGTATGAACTACCCCAGTGCCTCAAGAAACGAATGCACGCTAACATAAAGATTTGGCCTGATATAATATCAACACAGTTTTTGGCAGAGTTCCTGTTCTATTTATGGGAGATAAAACAGCTATGAGGAGCTCCAAGGTGTCAGCTGCTTGAAGGTCTTACAAGATCAGTAACACTGGATGTCATTGGTGTCATTAAAGGTTTCCAACAAGAAGATCGTATGTTCTTATGGACTGCTGTTTTTATGAAACACAGCAAGACTGTTAATTTCTTTGTTCTTGTGCAGATATGATGGAAGTGTGGTTGAGGGCATTGATTTTGTAAGGCATACCGGCTTTCAGGATTGAATCTGCCACATGCTCACAAAATAACACTGTAAAATGACACTGTTTTGTTCTGGTTGCCTGAGTTAAGCTCTTAGTTCAGACCTAATGTAGTTGATAATTCAGGACTAAGTCACGTCCATGGGTTTGGCAGCAATCATTCAGATAACAGGATGCCTGAGTGCTGTGGGATTATTGTTGAGTACTGTTAAAGGATAGTGATAAATTTTGTAAAAATAAATTCCATACTTCATAAACTTTCCAACCAGGCCTCTTCGTACCCTGTTTACATCTTTCTTTACTGTATGCATAAAGAAGGCAATCAAAAGCAAGTATCTCCCTCATGGCCAGAAGGTCGCGGGTTCTGATCCCCGACTGCGTCATACCAAAAAGACGTAAAAATATGGTACTTGTTGGTCCCTGCTTGGCGCTCGGCATTAATGGGTACAACAAGGACAGGTCGGCTTGGAGTCAGTATAATGTGTCTGAGTGGGGTATTCATGCTTCACTGCGGCATGGTATCTCAGTGGGCTAGCACTATAAAAAAAACAGCTTAAGTCTGGGCTAGTACAAGCAGCCGCACATACATACACATACACATACACACGCATGCACGTCGTCATATGAGCGAAATATTCTCAAGCACGACGTTAAACCCTACTTCACCTCACCCTCATGGCCATATATGGTGCATTTGGCAATTGTATTTTTATTCCTTGTTAGTGATAACAAGCAAACAATCATTTTCATAAGAAAATCAAATTAAGAATTGCAGTGATGAAACTGAAGCTTTCTGTAATATATTCTTGTTTCAGCTACTTTTGCATATTTAGATTAAGTGAATTGTTTCAAATAAATAATCTTCCATCAATATTTGTGAATTTGATGCACAATATTGACAGGATCTTCAGATAGGTGTCATTTATTCTTGTGAATGTATATTTACAGTGCCATTGATACCTGTGTTCAAGTCAATATAATGGGGATGACCTGTGTATTGATTGTTAATATGTGGTGCAAAATATCCTTGTTTATATATTTTAATATATTTTAAAAAATACTGTTTTAACTATGCAGTAATGTCATTTCAGGCGGTCCAAACTGAATCCAATGGCTAGAGAATTTGTCCCAACAGGTCAATCAAGATCACAGGTAATTCTTGCACTGACTGGTGTATTTGTGTATGCTTGCACTGACTGGTGTATTCGTGAATGCTTGCACTGACAGCTGTATTCGTGTATGATCACAGTGACAGCTGTATTTGTGTATGCTTGCACTGACTGGTGTATTAGTGTATGCTGCACTGACTGGTGTATTAGTGTATGCTGCACTGACTGGTGTATTCGTGTATGCTTGCACTGACTGGTATATTCGTGTATGCTGCACTCACTAGTGTATTCGTGTATGCTTGCACTGACTGGTGTATTCGTGTATGCTTACAGTGACAGCTGTATTCGTGTATGCTTGCACTGACTGGTGTATTCGTGTATGCTTGCACTGACTGGTGTATTTGTGTATGCTTGCACTCACTGGTGTATTTGTGTATGCTTGCACTGACTGGTGTATTTGTGTATGCTTGCACTGACAGGTGTATTCGTGTATGCTTACAGTGACTGGTGTATTAGTGTATGCTTGCACTGACTGGTGTATTCCTGTATGCTTACAGTGACAGGTGTATTCGTGTATGCTTGCACTGACTGGTGTATTCGTGTATGCTTGCACTGACTGGTGTATTGTGTATGCTTGCACTGACTGGTGTATTCGTGTATGCTTGCACTGACAGGTGTATTTGTGTATGCTTGCACTCACTGGTGTATTAGTGTATGCTTGCACTGACTGGTGTATTTGTGTATGCTTGCACTGACAGGTGTATTTGTGTATGCTTGCACTGACTGGTGTATTCGTGTATGCTTGCACTGACTGGTGTATTTGTGTATGCTTGCACTGACTGGTGTATTTGTGTATGCTTGCACTGACTGGTGTATTTGTGTATGCTTGCACTGACAGGTGTATGCACTGACTGGTGTATGCTTACAGTGACAGGTGTATTAAGTGTATGCTTGCACTGACTGGTGTATTCGTGTATGCTTGCACTGACTGGTGTATTGTGTATGCTTGCACTGACTGGTGTATTGTGTATGCTTGCACTGACTGGTGTATTGTGTATGCTTGTGATGTATTGTGTATGCTTGCACTGACTGGTGTATTCGTGTATGCTTGCACTGACAGGTGTATTTGTGTATGCTTGCACTCACTGGTGTATTAGTGTATGCTTGCACTGACTGGTGTATTTGTGTATGCTTGCACTGACAGGTGTATTTGTGTATGCTTGCACTGACTGGTGTATTCGTGTATGCTTGCACTGACTGGTGTATTTGTGTATGCTTGCACTGACTGGTGTATTCGTGTATGATCACAGTGACAGCTGTATTTGTGTATGCTTGCACTGACTGGTGTATTAGTGTATGCTTGCACTGACTGGTGTATTCGTGTATGCTTACAGTGACTGGTGTATTCGTGTATGCTTGCACTGACTGGTGTATTTGTGTATGCTTGCACTGACTGGTGTATTCGTGTATGCTTGCACTGACAGGTGTATTTGTGTATGCTTGCATTGACAGGTGTATTTGTGTATGCTTGCACTGACTGGTGTATTCGTGAATGCTTGCACTGACAGCTGTATTCGTGTATGATCACAGTGACAGCTGTATTTGTGTATGCTTGCACTGACTGGTGTATTAGTGTATGCTGCACTCACTGGTGTATTAGTGTATGCTTGAACTGACTAGTGTATTAGTGTATGCAAGGACAAATGTACTGAAATGTTGAATTATATTTTGGGAAATTGTAATGTGAAATCTTCTTAAGAACTATTTAAGACTTCGCCTCAATGCAAATATTTTGCAAATATGTTTTACCATTGTCTGTGTAACCCATTGATGTTTACCACAATACCACATCTTAATATCGTATGTCATCCCTTAACACTACATGGTCTTAGAAACAGGCAAAACTATCTATGATACAAATCATATTTTTAAAGAACCTTTGCACAATGATAAGGGGAATGCCGTTCAAGCATAGAATTTATGGTATGTTTCAATCAAAAATAGGCAAATCTCACTGAAAAAGAATCGAAGGTGATTCTGTTATGGAAAAGGAACACAATAAAAAAAATCTGCATGGTACTGTGAAGGGTTGAAAGTAGGTACACTAACGAACAAAGTTTGTAGGAAATCGGTGACAGTGTAGCCCAATATTTGACCACTTCTTTCTTCTTATCCGCAATATTTCTAAGTCCTTTTTGTTTTTTTCTGTCCTTCATTAGTCCCCACACATTCTCAATAGGGTTAAGATCTTGGTCCCGTCTCACACAGCTCTCGTAAGCATCAGATCTTTTCTCATAGTAATGGTACCTCCTATACTGTAACATAGACTTACAACAGTCATAGCGCTATGATAGCTTTGTGAAACGGAGCCCTGGGCTGTAGCTAGGTCAGACTAAAACTTGAACATTTTTCATCAATGGTGAGGTAATTCTGCGCTTTTTCACCCAGTTTAGTCTTTATAATTCTTGTCTAAGGGTTTCATTACATACCTGAGGACTTTCTCTTTTAATCATCTCATTTCTGATATTCTCAACGCTTTTCAATTTTCGTCTACTCACAATCTGACCAAGTCGCCTGCAATCTGTAGTACTGAACTTCCTTGGCCTCCCTGTTCCTGTCTTGTGCTCAGTCCTAACTCCTGACTGAATACTTTTCAAAGTTCTGTATACTGTAGACAGAGGAATGTCATGTCTACCAGCTAACTCTTTTGCATTAGACACACCCCTTTCAAAATCATCTACAACCAGCTTTCTTTCTCTTCTGGGGAAGGTGGGGTAGCCTAGTGGTTAAAGCGTTGGCTCGTCACGCCGAAGACACAGGTTCAAATCCCAACATGGGTACATAACAATGTGTGAAGCCCATTTCTGGTGCCCCCTGCTGTGATGTTGCTGGAATATTGCTAAAAGCGACATAAAACCAAACTCAGTCGTTCTCTTCTGCTGTCAAATCTGCCATGTTAACAAAGGAAGCCATCTGCTACAGCAGGGGAGATAACTCTTGATGTTGTAATGTTCATTTGTTAAGCCTACAAGAGTTGCCTCCCATATTGAGTACCAAACTACATAACGTAACACCAATTTTAAAATTCTATTATCAGTATTAGGAAACAACGATTTTCTCAGAAATTTCTGGGAAAACTGTTAATAGTCAGCTGTGCAGTTGGGTACAGCTTTGGAATTAATTTTGGAAAGTGCCAATTCAAATAGCGCACAGTCAATTATTTCAGGTCAGATCATTACAGAGAATTAACTTGAACCGACTCTGATAAGCTCAGTGCTATATGTGAGATATGCCTACACCCAAGAGCAAAGAGGATATCCATCATTTCCATGGATTAGTGCAGTATCTGGGTAAATTCATGCCTAACTTGAGTACGGTGGATGAGCCACTCAGAGCAGTGCTAAAGAAGGAAACTGATTTCCAATGGGATAAACCACTACAGGAATGTTTTGAAAATATGAAACAATTTTGTGGCAGTGCCCTAGTGCTGACCAGATTTAATCCAAGAAAGGAACTTGTAATTCAATATGATGCATGCTGTTTTGCAGTTTGAAGGGTTCTTTTCCAAGATAGACACTCACCCTTCAGAATTCTGTCCAAGGCAGATTTCAGAATAGATATAAATATTTATTATTTTTCCTTATCCTGACTCATGCTCTTTTGCTTGTCTCCTTCTTACGAACATAGTGGAACACTTGTATCTCCCTAATTGAAGCTCCCTTCAATGTAAAATCACTAATTAGTACTCACCACGAGTTGCCTCCCTCTTCCTTAGCGCGGGAAAGGAGGCGCCACCCTCTGGCCTCATGCTTCACTCTCTCCTTCTTCGCCCAGTGAGCAGGATGTGAGAGCGCCTGTGTCTCCCTACACACTATATCCTTTGATTATTCTTAGTTTATTACCTCTTATAGTCTTCTATAGAGGTGTAGCTAGTATCCTTCTGCAATTATGTATTGATAATTATCATTATTTTCTGCTGTTTATTCACGGGACGCCATGTTTGTTCAGCTAGTTTACGTTGATGAAAATCTGTACTATTTGTAGATTACGTTTTTCTGCTGCTGACCCGCATTTAATATGCCCTAGCTGTACTCACGCCATGCGTTTTCTTCACGGGTGCAGTTATTGTATTAATCTGTCTAATTCTGCATTTAATAAATATTATCTTTGCGTCTTGAGACGTGAAGCAGATAGGTCACGCAAACAAGGTTTAGCCATGGCCGATACATCGGAACCCCTAGCCAGTCAGCTGCTGTCGGACGACCCCCTCCCGTCTGGTGTTCCGCTAGAGTTACCCTCGGAGGAGAGGCGTGGGACGCAGTCCGCCGTCTCCATGAAGCGTCCTGCATCCCCAGACATCCCGTCGTCGCAGCCAAAGTCTAAGAGGGTTTCGACATCATCTCAACGCAGACTCCGTACCCCCAGGGCAGCGTCTACCTCCAAGGGGAAATCAACAAAGTCTAGAACCTTCTCAGCCGAGATTGTTCCCGCCGCAGAACTGGGCCTGTATGATGATCAGCTGATCATCATACCCGATCTACGCCACAAGAAACGACCAGTGTCGGCAACAGTGACGTCAGCGCAGATCGCCATGCAGCCTGATGTACCAACGCTGATGTCGGACGATCCTCCTGAGGGCCCCGTCGTTACCAACGCAGAGAGGGCACCGACTACATCTTCACAGACCGTCACAGACGACCTGATGCGGCAGATCATGAAGATGATGGAGGACCGATACAGACTGGAGAGACAACCAGCCCAGAGCCTGAGCCTTCGCGAAGGCTCCAACGTAGACGACACCCCACAGGGACCCCCCGTCAACGTAGAGGCCACTACGATGCCACCTCCGCAAAGGAAGTCACAGACCATCTCGGCGAAAGGACCCAGATGTACAGCCTTCGCGAAGGACGTCTAGATCGTCATCTACCTCGGACCTTGATGATCAACACGCATGAGGACGCTCGAAGAAAAAGATCATCTCATCCCTAGACTCTGACTCGGACCCTCAGCCTTCGCGAAGGTCAAGTCGTCGCTCCCCAGGACCGGACTCAGATGAAGCTTCGCGAAGGTCTCCGCGAAGGGCACCAGTTACAGGCTCCAAGTCATCTTCGTCTAGAAGGCCATCGAGGGATTCTCCAAGAGCTTCGCGAAGCCATCAACGTTTGCCACATAGATCGCCGCGAAGATCACCATTTAGACATAGCTCGTCAGCTCGTTCACCAAGACGATCTCCTCGACGTTCTCCACGCCGATCACCTCGCCGTCCACCTCGCCGATCGCCTTGCAGGTTACCACACCGTTCGCCGCATAAGTCTTCACGGAAGTCCCCAGTCAGGTCTCCGGTGTCGTCGTCCTGCACAGAGATAGATCCAAAAAGGTCACCATCGGAAGAGCATCAACCTCTTATAAGCGATCCCGTTATAGAAGATGATGGAGGCATCATATTCTCAGACGCTGAGATACGCTATTGGATGGTGAATAACCTAGACCTAGCCTCACCGTCTAAGAACGGTAATCCGGCACACACTTACGTGATGAGGGAGGACGATGCAGACAACATCACCCTACCCCCGATCGACCCGATTGCTACGGTCCCACAGAATCTGGACACAGCCTTCCATAAAGCCACTAAAGTCCAAGCGCCACACTTACCACAGTTCAACGCTAAGAAGTTTGCAACTCATAATATGGACCCCCTTTTTCAAGGCACAAGAGATCGATGACAACTACAAAGTGATCAACGATGTCAAGAATAAGAACTATAAGATTGACGATCGCAAGCTGGTTCAGATAGAAACCATGACAAAGCGAATGTTTTTCGGCCTTAATAGATCTAGAACGATCAATGAGACTCTTATATCCAGATTTCGAGATTCGACATCTGAGGATGACAGAATGGTCTACTCGGCCCTACTTATGCAAAAGAAGGACGAGCAGTTTCTAACGGATCATCTCACATCAGTCTCTGCAGCACTAACCCTGGCTCGTCGTCAAGGCCTCCTCGCTTCCTGCAGCTGGGGTGAGCAGTTTACAGCTCCACTCTACACAGCCCTGTGGTCTACGCCATCCATCTTCGACGGAGGAATAGACAAAGTCTCTAAGGAAGTCACCAAGGATTCTAGAGAAGTCCTTATGATAAAGTCGATGGACACGCTAGCCAGCGTCATCAGGCAGACTTCACAGAGGTATTCAGGGAAATCTAAATTCACTGGATTACAGAAAGCACATGATAGGAAGATGGCCAGCTCCAGAGGAAAAGATTCTTTTCGTCGCCCATATGGCAACTACAGAGGAGGATCAGGAAGAGGCAGGGCACCCAGAGGTTCCCGCGACTATAAACGATGAAAGACAGGTTCGGATCGACTGGAGTCTTCCACCCCCCAGCCGTTCCAGTACAACCGTCACAAGTGGGTGGACGCCTTCAACTGCACTGGGAGAACTGGGGAATGTTACAAGACCCATATGTCTCCAACATTCTTCAACACGGATATCGTATCCAACTACAGGCCACGCCTCCGCTGACAGTCAACCCTCACAAGTTCGACTTCCAGGCTTACCTATCCTGACTCATGAGGTAAGCCCTCCCATCCTCACCCCATAACACTTTGGATTTCCCTGTAAATTCAAGTGTTGGGCTCGCTATATCAGGAGAGAGTGAAGCATGAGGCCAGAGGGTGGCGCCTCCTTTCCCGAGCTAAGGAAGAGGGAGGCAACTTCGTGGTGAGTACTAATTAGTGATTTTACATTGACGGGAGCTTCAATTAGGGAGATACAAGTGTTCCACTATGTTCGTAAGAAGAAGACAAGCAAAAGAGCATGAGTCAGGATAAGTATAAAATATCAATTTTATTCAGAAAATTACATGTTTGATTTCTGCCACTGAGGTATTAAAATATGTTTCTGTTTTCTTCCGTTCCAGAAGCCAGTGCCCCAAACACCTACTCCACCAAGGCCTCAAACTCAGAGTCCTGTTGTACAGCCCATTGTGCCTATGTATAGTTCATTGATTCTCCCAAGTAACATGGTGCCTGTAGGACCGCCTCAGACAGCTCAAAACCAAGGAAACAGATATCCAAAAAGAGGTATGTTTTGTTCAGATTCAGAACATTCTGTATGTAAACAGTTTAGTTAATGTCATCAACTGGGCCAGATAACTTCTTGAAGTGGCATTTAGAAGCTGGTATGATGAGGAGGAACAAATCTTCTGGAATAACAACTTCTTTCTTGCAATAGAAGCGACTTTTCGATGTAGATACTAACACTGTTATTTACTTGATAACAGTGTTAGTATCTACATTGAAACGTCACATCTATTTCAACGTACAAGTTGGCAATGCATAAAAAAATATCCTCTGGGTCAGATAAGTCTCATGCATACGAGGGCATGATCGATAAAGTTACCAAAGGCAGTACAATATTCTGTGCACATTTGCATTCCTTTAATGGGCCATGATCCCATGACCATGGGTTTCAGTTTCAGATTTGCCCTGATTGTGAGATTTGGACATCATATTAAACTATTTTTGCTAGGCTTAGAAACCAACCTTATCAAAATGTGCACAGGCATGTTTTGTTTTTTATCCATTTTCTAAAATTCAATAAAAATACGTTTTTGTCCTGTAATATCACTTGTTGCAACTGCAATAATTCTCCCAGCAAGGTAACTGTAATATTATTGATCTTCAGAGCTTTCTATTGATAATAAACATCAGACTGGTCTTTTCACTTGTTATTTCTACCAATTCTTGAAAACAGGTATTTACAAGTGATGGCTCATGTTACGGAGTTCTTCGCCTCCATTACCCCTGCCAGCTTCCGGTTCAACGGAGTGAAGGAACAGGGGACTTAAATCTAAATATACTTGTTGAATCACATGTCTGTCATATGGGAATACTTGCGGAGTTGCCTCCCCTGCTTCATTCGCCCTCTATGCCAGAAGAATAAATGATACGAAATTTCTAACAATAACCACGACAGAAAAGAAAAATAATCTCCAACAGTTTAATGGTAAAATTAGGCAATATGATATTTCTCTTTAATTTCTGCTTATTGTCCCCCTCCGCAACGCGGAACGGGGGACTATGTATTCAGCGGCGTCTGTCCGTCCGTCCGTCCCGATTCTTGTTAACACGATATCTCATGAACTGTTGTACCCAATGTCTTCAAATTTGGTGACAGCCTACATTGGGGGATTACACATACACCAGTGTATTTGGGTGACCTTGACCTTATTTTCAAGGTCACGGTGACTATTTGACCACTTTTCAAACTTTTGTTAACGCGATATCTCATGCATTGTTGTATCCAATATCTTCAAATTTGGTGACAGCCTACATTGGGGATTACGCAGACACCAGTCGAATGGGGTGACCTTGACCTTATTTTCAAGGTCACCACGACACTTTGACCCAGTGTCTGCTCTGGCTTAAATTTTCTTGGGGTCACTTGGACCCCTTCTTTTAAAAATTAGGGGTCCCCCCAAAAATGGATGGGTCCATATTTTGGTTTGTAATATAGCATAAACAACACAACACATTGGTTGTAAAAAATCAGATTTCAATTTGGAACTGCGAAAACATCAACAACATTAGTTTTAGCAAAACAGCTTTCTCTTTTTGTCACTTCTCCATTTGGTGACGGCTGGTGCAAGAGAAACATCCCTTACGGGAGGCCCTAGAGCCAGCTGCATCAGCGTGTCAAGCCGCTCTGATGATAGCCTGTTTCTGTGTGACCTCTTTATGAGGTTTTGAACACTGAAACCCCTCTCAACAGTTGCTGTTTGAAGGGGCAACAGGACAGCCACTTGTGCAATCTTGAACAGATTTGGAAATGTATCAGGGTGTCTTGACGACAGTATCTGCCATAACTGACAGATAGCCTAGCTTTTCAGCAGCCTGTCTAGTAACCAGGGCAAGGCGATGAGCAATGCAGTGGACACCGATGACAGGCACAGTTGATTCCTTGTTGAGCAATGCTACGAAACCATTCTTGCGTCCAGTCATAACAGCAGCCCCATCTGACCCCACAGCAATGATTTTGGACATAGGAATGCTACGATCCTGTAATGTTTTTTGACAGTTTCTAGAAGAGTAGTAGCCTTGCCATCAGGAATTTGCACATTAGCAAGGAAATTTGTTTCAACATCAAATTCTGAATTGAGAGATCTTGTGTAGATTAGGAGTTTCTTTGTAACTGATATATCTGTGCTTTCATCAATCAATATGGATATACAAGGACTAGCACTGATTTTGTTGGTTACTGAGACACGAAAGGAATTAGCTATTGCATCTTGCATGTCGTCAACTGCACAGTGAGATGTGTATTTCATAGAGTCTGAATCACAACCTAATGTTTTTGGAATGCCTATAATTATGGCAGCCAACAGTAAATGCATTGGTCTTGGTTTCAGAAATACAAACATGACAAGTCATACCAAGTGATGTGTCAAATCTTAACCAACTGTACTTTGTAAGCCAGTCACTTTGAAACCGTTTTTCAACTTTTTGTTTCTTTGGCAAAGGTTCATTTTCCGTGTCATTGTTTTCACCAGTTTTCTCAGCTGGTGATGGTTTTTGAGCAGTAGTATTGCCAAACCAACTGACTAAACTTGCCTGAATCTGATGGCTTGTCATCGCTGGAGCTGTCAAATTTACGCAGCGTAGTAAACGACTTCCTTATAAGGATGTGCCGTATTTCACAGAACAAGGTAAATAACAAACTTTCGTGGACAGTGATTCTATATTCACGTACATTGACAAATTTCAAGAATTAAAAACACAACTAGTCTGTTGTAGAATATCGAAATATTTAGAGTCGACAAAAGAAAAACAACGCTCATATTCAAGTTTTCGCATTTATTCTGTATTATACATATTCTGTTGCTTGTTCGCGCCGTTACCCCGTTTTGAAGTATACCCTTGGCGTGCCTGGCTATTTTTAGTTTGACACAAGGTCGTGATGTTTTCGACCAATCGCCAAGCTAACAACGTTGCCGAGCAGCTTCATAGGCTGTATCTGATTGGCTGACGGAAACCGACGGACCATACCGTACATTAACATATGCACAACTGAAAATATATGTAGGTCAAGCAACCGGTTTGAGTAGTGGTGATAAAAAAGTGCGAGACAAATAAAACCGGTTTGGTTTAACAACCGGAAGAGTTTATCAACATGTTTCGCAGACTGTTCGACATTAAATAACCCAGTACACCAGGATATGCACACACAAAGCCGTACGTTTTTGATTTGTGATATGAAATTAATACTGCTCGAGTCGATGCGTCCACGAGACCCACACATGTTACGCAGGTGCGTTCAAACTCATATTTGTGCGTCCAAGACGCAAAAATGCGCTCTTCAGCCAACACTGCTTTGACCACTTTCCGAACTCATGTTAACGTGACATCTAATGGACTGTTCTACCCAATGTCTTCAAATTTGGTGACAGCCTACATTGGGGCATTACGCAGACACCAGTTTATTTGGTGCCCATGACCTCATCTTCAAGGTCACCATGACACTTTGACTGCTTTTCAAACTTATGTAAACGCGATATCTCATAAAGCAATGCACCCAATGTTTTCAATTATGTTGACAGCCTACATTTGGTGATTATGCAGACACCATAATCAGTCATTTCAGGCATCTTGTATGTGACCATAAAATAAAAAGTAGTAAATATAGATATTCCATTCTTTAGCGCAGGGGGACATTGCCATATCAGTGGCAAACACTTGTTCTTGTTGATCCACTCTGTTGAAGCGGAAGCTTTCAGGGGTAATGGAGGCGAAGAATGGTTTGATATGTCACGAGTGGCGCTTAAAGTGTTGAATTAAATATCTTTTACATGAGTAATAAATAAAAATGAGGTTGGAAATCTGAGAGCACAACCCTGTGAGGAAATGGGTGTCTACATTTGATGGTGGCGATATTTTTTTATATAAAAATATTTTTCGAACCGAAGCGAGGGGAGTACGTTGCAAACCTTTGCTCGCTTTACCCGCTTATAGGAAGACTGGTCATTTTCTCTTTGTTGCAGAACCCTATTTGCACTACAGGTTCATCAATGACCTCTGAGTCTGTAGGAAGTCAGTGTCGGAGCAGTAAATGCTTCTGGTTCCTGTTGTTGAAAGCATTAAGTTCAGAAGTTTTTTCAGATGTGCTTTAATTTTCAGCTGTTGTATCGGTACAGCCAAGACAAGACTTCTCAGCTGCGGCTCAACATGCAACTGGTCAACCCCTATTAGCAAATGCAACAGTGCAAACACAACAGTACCTTCCGTATCCTATCATGCAGTCTGCTGTCATGCACCAACAAACTGCAGCAGGTTATCAGGTAATGCATTTCCACCGCATATCAGCTCACATCACCATCACCAGTTTGTGTCATTTGGATTTAGTTAAGATTTTGTGCCATGATGCTGACCTGGTGGTGGGGTAGTCTAGTGGTTAAAGCATTTTCTTGTCAAACCTGAGACTCGGTCGATTCCCAATGTTGGTACAATGTGTGAAGCCGGGATATTGCTGGAATATTACTAAATGTGGTTTAAAACCATACTCACTCACTCAATCAATTACTCATAGATCTTGTGCCAGTGTGTCGTTGGTGTGTGTAGACCCCAGTTGATATCTCTCTTTTGTTAAAGATTATGGGAAGCTGTTTAACAGTTTGTTAGTAGGATATCTCCAGACCCCCTTCCTTGATTCGGTCTAAAATTCATACCAGTGTGTCTCAACAAGAGATGCCAATGATTACCTGTTGATTACCACCTTTTTGATGTTACCACTTTTGTTGTTTTTTCACTTGTACATATATAGCTATCTGCTTTAATTCACCTGAAAAAACAGGAAGAATGAAATCTAAAATATTGTGTTACTCATATTACAGAAGTTGACACCTGGATTAGCTTAAATGCAATTTATCACCATTTTTATGAACAATTACCTTCTTATCACTATCTCCTGCATTCACTCAAAATGCTTTTTCATCAGTATCAACCTCTACTGGGAAATTGTTTCACTGAAGAAGCTGAATTAGGGCATATATGCTTCTCATTCCACTGACATCATATTTTGGTCAGATATTTTTGTGTTAGTGTTAGTATTTAGTCTTCAATGTGTAAACAGAACATATTTGAATGTCAGGGCTGACAGCAATTTAATGAAGGAGATATTTGATATGTTCCAGGTAATGCCAGTGTCTGCAAACCCTCAGAGAATGATGAACCAAGCACCCGTGGCAGCATCCTCTCATCCAGCTGCTGGCCTTGATCCTGCTCAGGGGAGTGCACAACATGCACATGCTGCACCACATTTATTTAGTAAGTTATTTATCTGTAATCCAGATGTGTGCCTTATATATATCTGTCAGCTGTCTCTTAATGTCTTTGTCGTACTGGATGGGTACTATCCAGACCTTAGCTCCTTATTTCTGCTGTCAGTATATTCAAATTTCCAACCTGGTCAGGATTAAGATCTGCACACTTTAAATTATAACGTAAACATTCCCTCTGGATTATGGTAGCCTTATTCCTGTGGATTCACTGAATACATACAGAAAATCAAAAGAAATTTTAACGGTAAGTCATAGCTATTCCTAGTGGTATACCTAATCTACCCCTGAGTTATCTCCCTTGATCCTGACATCACTGTATTGTTCTAGAACCCTTCATAATTTTTCTGTATGGTCCACACGCATGACGTGCAGAGAATCGAGTGAAATTTTCATTTCAAATCAAGTCTTCAATTCTTCATATATAGGTCAGTTACAAATCGCATTCCATTTAATATTCAATCGCATTGCTATTTTGCATTTATATTATATATATTTCCAAAGTATTTAGGATCTGAAGTTTTCCCGCCCTTTTTTGATTGACAAGTATGGCGCAGAGCAAATGTTTACAATGTCAGAAATTCATGGCGGATGTTGATCCCCACTCTCTCTGTGCTTCCTGTTATAAAGGCTTACCTTGCTCAATATCGGATCGATGCTTATTGTGTCAGGAAATGTCGGAAGAAGATTGGTTGTTGATGGACAAATCTCGTTCCTTAGTTTGGAAGCGTAAACATTCATCGTCATCAGAATGCTCTAAGTCGAAGAAAGTTCAGGGATCTCCGCCTTTATCTATAAAATCTGAACCGAAGTCACGTTCTAGATCTAAATGAAAAACCTCTCCCCAGTTGGATATAGCTGCGTTCTCAGAACTTTTGGCGGGATTTAAATCCGATATCCAGGCGGCCATGGATATAAATCTGTACGGGATATGGAGATGAGGAATGACGAAAAATTTGATCGCCTGTCAAAACATTTGGAAGATCCTGTATTACCCGGCAAGACGGCAGACAGCCGTAGGGGCTTGGTGGTCGATGGCAAGAGATGGGAGCCAAAGTACCTGCCTACGGAAACCAGGGGTGCAATGACTGGGAAAGCCGGTTATCATGCCCTGGCGTACGTAGGAGGCCGGTCCCCTCAGGGGGAGAAGCCTAGGGCTTCAAGCGACGGGGATGGAGTCGGCCCAGCTGGACCCGGACCCGGGGTGACCATGGCTCAGATCACACATCCTTTGTGCCCGGGAGCCAGTCATCGGTGGCTGCTCCCTTTCGCATACAGTTTGCTACCTTCTCCCATGGGGAGACCAGGCGGCTAGGGTTTCACGGGTCTGACTCGGCTCAGACGGCACATGATTCCCGCCCCGACTCAAGCCAGGCCACTGGGTCGGCTGCTATGGATAACGGTCTATCAACCCAGCAGTCTGATTTGCACGGGCCTAGCAGTTCAGAGGACACGGCTACGGACCCGCAAGGTTATTTTGACACAGACAATCCGCCCTTAATTCCGTTAGTGTCTGATGTGACGGATCGGGAAGATTCATCCGTGTATCCTTTTTCACAACCGGAGTTTTCCATGAAAGAATGCTTGTTGACGGTACAACCTATGGACATGTCAGCACAGGATTTTAAGCCGGGCTGGTCATTTAAAGAAAAGCCGAACTTTTGCATGGACTTTATCCTAATACTCTACCACCACCGTCGGAGGAACAGGAGATAGAGATTCCCGTGGAACTCCGATTATCAGGTTGCCTTCCCCCGGAACGGATGCCCAGGCTGTCATTACCACATTCATCATCACTTAAGAAAGTGTTGGAGAATTACAACTTAGGCCTCTCTAAGGCTACGAACTTGAATTCTTTGCCTAGGGTTTCTCATAAACCCATTTATTCCATTCATCATTGTGCTATCCCAGCCAATCAACCAAGTTTAGACAAGGACTTTAAACAGTTACAGGATGCTAGAGGCTCTCGTGAATATGCACCGTTCTGTACCTTCAAGAATTGTAAGGAATTGGATACGGCAGCCCGTTCGGCGATTGATACCCTATCTTATTCAAACTGGTTTTCTGCGGGAGTTCGTGCTTTGCTCCCACCGGTGATTATACAGAAGTTAAGAAAGACACTTTGATTTCCATGACTGCTCAAGAGGTGGCGTTAGCGCATTCCTTTCTGGATGTAGTGTATCAGTCCTTAGCCGATGCGATGGCGACTCAAGTGAATATATTGGGACAACTTACAACTATTGAGCGGATTCAGCGGCTAGATGCAGGTAGGAATTTACCGGATGTTTCAAGGGATTTTCTATTACACCAGCCCTTGGAATCGGATAACACCTTTAATGGACAATGTCAACAGGCTATTGAAGCTAGAGATGCCTTGACGTCGAGGAACTTGAATCAACGTTTGGCGTCAGTTCTTTAATTCCAAAATAGAGGAAGGGCTGACACTAGATCTAGAAGAGGTTCCAGTGTTACGTCTCGTTTTGCTCCATCTTCATCAGGTCGTAGTCAGAACTTTCAGAGATCTGCCTTTGATCGACTTCAGATTCAAGAGCGCGTTCTACAAATGTGGCTGTTACTAGAGGCTCATCCTCATCTAGGGGTAGAGGTAGGGGAGGTAGATCTTTTCGTGGATCAAGATCAACTTCCAAGAAATATTGACTCAAGTCTCACTGTTCAGCGTTCTCTTCCTTATGAATTGGAAACGTCCCCCGAAATGATATTGGATTTGGAATTTGTATGTCCGGTGACACAATCTCCAGTAGGGGGCAGATTGGCCCAATACTTAGACAATTGGAAACTAATAACATCAGACGAGTGTGTCCTGTCTGTAGTGAGCAGGGGGTTTATTCTTCCTTGGCACAAGCAACCTCCAGTGACTTGTTTTCCAGAGGGTCATCGGTTTTGTCTTCAAGGCCAGCGTTGAGCGGGGGCAAACTTGGCAATAAATCAGCTACTGGAGAAACGGGCAATCATAGAACTTCCTCCAGGGGATCAGACATGCGGGTTTTATTCACCGGTATTCTTAGTCCCCAAGAAATATTCGGACGAAATGCGCATGATAATAGACGTGTAAGTGTTGAACAAGTTCTTTTTGAGGAAACCGCCAAAGTTCAGGATGGAATCAATTGCAAACCTACGCACCTTGATTCGTCGGGAAGTTTATAAGTATAGATCTAAAGGATGTGTATCTTCATATCCCTGTTCATCCAAGATCTCGTAAATACTTAAGATTTGCGGTGAACGGTCGCAGGTTTCAGTTCAGGGTGCTGCCGTTCGGGATATCTCTAGCGCTGTGGTTGTTCACAAAAATAATCTCCCCGATTCTGGCTTTTCTTCATCAACGAAGTATTGCGATACACGTTTATCTGGACGATTTCTTGGCAAGGAATGTGGTGACAGCAGTTCTCATGAAGCAAACCAACTTTATAATCTACATGTTTACACATCTGGGTCTAATAGTTCATCCTAAGTCAGAACTGGTCCCTTCTAAGAGAATCAAGTTTCTGGGAGCAATCTTGGACTCAAGAGCAGGCCGTATTTATACTCCTCAGGATCGTTGGGTGGAAATATCAACCAAGATAACCAATATGTTACAGACGCAAACTGCATCAGTTCGTTCATGGATGTCCCTTCTAGGATCTCTCACTTCAATCCAGGATTATACTGTAAGAGGAAGACTAAGGTTGAGAATCCCGCAGATCTGGCTCAACCAGTCTCAGATGGAGGACTTGGAACTGCTCATAGCCTGTCCAGACAGAGTCCGAAGGGAGATATTATGGTGGACGGTGGACGTGAATGTGTTGCCAGGAGTTTCATTACGTCCTCGTTTACCGGATCTGACACTTTATGCGGATGCCTCGAACACTAGTTGGAGTGCAGACATGGACATTTGGCAAATTCAAGGTGTGTGGAATCTGTCAGAGGTGAATCTGCATATAAACTGTCGGGAGATGTTAGCACTGTTGAAAGCGATTCGTTGCTTGGGGAATCGCTTGTATGGGAAGAGTCTCATGTTAGTGTCGGACAATTCTACGGTAGTGGCATACATCAACAAACAGGGAGGTACCAAATCTTAACAGCTCCTCCGGATCACTCAGGATCTGTATCAAGCAGTGGACGCTATAAATTGTTTAATCACAGCGCGCCACATTCCAGGTCGGAAGAATATCCTAGCGGACTCATTATCTCGACAGGACAGAGTGATCTCGACTGAATTGACTCTCAAGGAAGAGGCATTCGATTTTATAGGACAGAAGTGGGAAATTCCAAACATAGATTTATTTGCGATTTCCAGGAATTTTCGGATACCAACGTTTGTGAGTCCAGTACCGGATCCATTGGCATGGGCAGTTGACGCCCTATCCATATCATGGGAGGGGATGATAGCCTATGCCTTTCCTCCGTTCAAACTAATCCCAGAGGTTCTGTTAAAAATTCAACAACACGACTGTCTAGTCTATCTAGTGGGACCAGCGTGGCCTGCCAGACCTTGGTTTCCCACCCTACTGCAACTATTGGTGGACAAACCTCTGCGTCTTCCGTTGTGGCACAATCTAATAGTCAACCCAAGTCCAACAGAGTTCACAAGAATGTCAGGCAACTTGCGCTACACATATGGAAACTATCTCAAGGTCACTCAGGAATCAGGGATTTACGGTTGAAGCTACTAGAGCTATTTCAGAATCCGTTAGACCTTCCACAGCTGCCTTTTACGACTCTAAGTGGCGATGATTCATCCAGTGGAGACGAGAGTGTCATTCAGGAATCAGGGATTTACGGTTAAAGCTACTAGAGCTATTTCAGAATCCGTTAGACCTTCCACAGCTGCCTTTTACGACTCTAAGTGGCGATGATTCATCCAGTGGAGACGAGAGTGTGGAATCTTGGATGTACATGTCACCATTCCAATGATAGCGGATTTTATCTTGTTCCTAAGAGAACAGAAACATTTGAAGCATAATACTATTGAGGGATATCGATCAGCTATTG